CACCAAATACTCACAAAGGCATCTAGGCCTTGGAATGGCTCTATGTCCAAATGAAAAACGCAGGAAAATGCGAGGGAAGCTCCCGAGCAGGTCAGCAGGACGGAAAGGAGGTTCGAAAGTCACGGCCTGTTTGCACAAAGTCAAAGCAAGCGGGCTCCTTTTTTCTGAAAGCTGAGGACTTGTCTGGAATGACCCCCAGGAACTTTGCTGGGACCTCCCAGTGAGGACGGGACCACAACCAGGGCATCTGCAGCCATCACCTTGTGCTTTGCATTTCATGCTCTCTGGCAATACAGTTCGGTTAAGAGGGCATTTTATAACCAACTGTAGACCTGAACCCTATGAAACCATCCCTGCAGAGGCAAAAACACCCTAAAACGGCTTCTAAAAATACAAATAGGATGATTAGTTTGTGTGGAAGTTTTCCCAGTTAGTTTCCACGAAGCAGGCCAGCATGTGGCTGCTGCCTTAACAGAGCAGCTGTTACTGTTTAGAGCTTGTGCATTGCTTTGTTTGCTCCGAAATTGGGTGCATATGTTTGGCCAATAGCAAATCCTGAAAAACAAAACCCAACAAAACGCTCTGCCATTTAGCACAGTTTAAACAGCAAAAATTACACACCTTCATAGGCCTCAGTAAAAATAACTCTGTGTGACTGCACATGGATTTATACCATTATAGGACTGATTAAATAGTGGATCCAGAGCGGCAATTACAGAATTATGGAATTATTAAGGTTGGAAAAGACCTTCAAGATGATCCAGTCCAGCCGCAAACCCATCCCCACCAGGCTGCTGATCCCCAGGGCCCCCGGCACACGGTTCCCGAGCCCTGCCAGGGACGAGGGCTCCACCGCCTCCCGGGGCAGCCTGTTCCTGCGCTTCACCGCTCTTCCATGGAGAAATTTTTCCTAATATCCAACCTGAACCTCTCCTGGCACAACTTGAGGCCAGCTCCTCTTGTCCTATTTGTAGTTACTCTGGAGAAGAGACCGACCTTCATCTCACTCCAACCTCTTTTCATGTACTTGTAGAGACAAAAATAAGCGTTTTTACCAAATAAACACAATTGGCACATGAAAAAGAAGGGATATCAGAAGAGGTCAGCACCATCTAAGAACGGTGAAAGGGTCAAGAGCCTCAATCTCAGGTTCTTGCCATGGCTTGACAGAAGAGGCCTGCGAAGCCACGAAGGGTACACACGCAGAGCTCTTGTCTGCCAGCAGAGCAGAGCGGAGCACGGTGGTCATTCCACGTGCGTGTCCCTGGGCTGGGCTTGGTGGGAATGCATCCCGATGGGAGGGCACGGAGAGCCAGCACTGAAGATGGGCTCAGCTGCACAGAAACCTGCTCGTGAGCGGGGTGGCTTTTATCCTCCCAAGACACTCAGGACACTCAGAAGGGGAAAACGCGCCGGGGTGCGTGTCCGCTGGGCGCCACGGCTGCACGCAGGTAAGGGCTGTGAGCGCTCTCCGCAGCAGGCAGCTGCGGCCTGGATGCTGAACCCCTCGGGATCAGCAGCGAGGCCACATCTCTTACTTAGCTCGGGTGGCAAATCCCAGGAGGAATTTAAAATAAAAGGCGCTGATTCCGCAGCCTTGTGTCTGAGGCTGAAAAAGCGTGGGAGGTGTCTTTAGAATCTTAACTAATTTTTGAAATTCTCATATACATATACAACTTGCTTCAGCAACGTGGAGGGATAAAAAAAAAATCTAATTCAATTCTGAAGGATTTTACTTCTCTCTACTCAAACGAGCACTGACTCTAACTCAATTGCTGATATTCTAATATTCCAAATCCACTGCTGAAATTTCATCTCTGAGCTAAGAAGCCTGGATCATACCAGGCTCACTGAGGTTTTCCAGGACAGGGGTAGATTTTTAGAATAAAGCAAGTAAAAGGAAACTCAGGGAAATCAGATTTAGGGGCACTCGAAGACAAAAGCGAGAGTTTAGGTCGTCTCATCCAGACACAGTGGGGAATGGCCCTGGGACAACTGGGACTTAATTTAGATAGTAAAGAAGCGACACTCAAGGGAGAAAATAGGAATATGGGCCTTTTCTTGCTTTTAACTATTCCTCTCTGATGCTTCAAGTAAATCAATAATGCTTTTATTTAATAATTTATTTGCTGTGACTACATTGTTCTGGGCACTGTAAATCATGGAGCTTATAGTAAGGCTAAACTGAACTACAGTTAGTCTGTAGAGGGAAAAAAAAAAAAAAAAGACAGGATTTTTGACTCAGGAACCAGTCCCTGAATACAAGGACTTGCAGGACTTCCCCATCAGAAGTACAAACACAAGGCAAAACCTTGGAAAGCTCATCAATGGAGAGAGCAACTGAGTGCTCAAGGCATAGGCTATCCTGAACTGTGGCAGCCGCTCTAGTGAGTGCCTATGAATATGATGACCATATGTGATCAGGAATTAAATATATATACCTATATATTCAGAGCATTAGTGGTCTAGAAAGTACATTCTTGCTGTATTAGCCCGTTGCCCTTTTCACTTGGGTTTCCCCATCGGCCTGGCCTGTCTCGGTGACCTGAACAGTAGCACCACATCCTGCATGTGAATCAGACCAAGCCTAACCCATCACAGGCCCCTGTCCGCCCTGATGTGGCAGGAGGCAAAGCTCAGAGCGCTGCTCATTTCAGAGCTGCTCTACCGAAAACGGGTAGAACATTCCTAACGTTATAGGCACTATAAAATCACTGCTGCTAAGCTGTTAAAACCAAGCTGCAGATGTCACATGGCTTCTGTGCTGCTGTTCAAGTGTGTTGCTTTTCTCCTTCAGTCACTGAAATGCTGTTCTATTCTGACAGATCTTTCTACAGACTTAGTCATGTTTCCGGAGTGCCAATTTAGCTACTCATGTCTTGAGTTTCAAAATGAATAGCTGGCTACTGGATGGTTACAAAAATGGTTGTCACAAAAAAAGCTTCTCGGGGCAAGCCCTGAAAAAGTCTTGGGGTAATTAGGTTCTGGCAAGAAAATCTCAGAGATTTCTAGCTCCTACTGCAGGGCCAAAAACTGGAGAGGATGCACAGCTCCACTGCACTGATTATTCAGACAATGGGATTAAGAAATAGGGTCTGGCCTTGGAAAAATGGAATAGGTGTTTCATGAGGGATGTGGCTCTTTGATGGGAGGGAGGAGCCAAGTTACCCTCCCTTTCTCTCCTTCTCAGGGAACCTCACCCTGGTTTTTTGCTTCGCAATCAAATTGTTTCCATGTGACAAAGCATAAAACCAAAGGCTCCCCCATGGACCTCTACATCCAGAATCCCCCAGGAGAGGCGATTTCCTAATTTTTTATCTAATTCCTAATTTTTTATCTTCAGCTGAAACAGAGAATAAGGGCAGCGATGCTGCTGCACGCCCCTTCCTTTCAGTGAGGCTGCCGACCTGCAGCCCAAATCTCCCAGGTCACCTGCCCTGGTGCACTCACACTCCTCCCTACTCACGCTTCTCCTACGAGCTCTTGGAGGCTCCCAGGCTCCGTGGGCAACCACGGTGCTCCGCAGACGCCCTCCGCAAGCTGCTCTGCGAGCACCTAATGCTGCTCAGTAATGGGATCCCGGGGGCTCCTGAGTTAGGCCCTCCTTGCCTTTCAAGAGGTGCTGTCTCAAGAGGGATTAGGCACAGCGTGTTTCCTGAGGCGCTGGGGAATGTTCCCCTACAGCATACGCAGGAATGTGGCTACGGGATTTGCTACAGGACAGAGGTTTTCCTGGACAGAGAATTCGGGTTCCTGTTGTAGGCAACAGCAAGAGTTGTGAAGTGTGGTTTGGTATGTGATGGGGAATAAAAAAACAGCCTAATTGCTTAATTTCCAGCAGAGCAGCTGTAGCTGCGCCCTGGCAGGCAGGAAGCAAGACCAGATTGCAAGCAGTAGCCTTTCTCTTTACCTAAGCTGAAGGAGGGAAAGTGTCTCCCAGCAAAGGGGGCCGATGTCCCAAGTGCGCTTTCAGTGCACAGGCCGTTTCAAGTTGGATGTGGGTATGGATGTAGTTATCTCTCCTTTTGGTGATTAGGCTTTATCTAACTGGCCAATTTTGCAGTCCGTCTCACAGGCAACTTTGCACTGCTGCTGGCAGCGGATGCGCAAGGGGCAGGGGGTAAATTCCTGTGACCGCTCCATACTAGGCTAGGCGGAATCCACCATGGCCCAGCTCTGAGGTTACACAAAATGCTCCAGTCTCTGCCACCGACTGAACCCTGTAGAAACCAGCACCACCAAATCCCGAAAGCACTGCACGTGGAAAGCTGCATTGCAGGCATCGGTACCTTTTTTTATGACTGCACTGAAGGCCAGGCTGCTGCAGCCTCAGCTCACATCCCACCCCCCTCCCCGAAGAAAAACGAGATTTAGCAAAAATAATAATGAAAAAAGACCCCCACCACTCAACCACCACTGTGGCAGGAGGGAGGTAGCACATGAAATGGCTGGGGGCATGGAGCAAACTTTAAAGGCTGGGAGAGAAAACGAGGCCAAGGGGATGAGGGGGTGGCCATAAACAACCCCGCTACCCTCAGCGCTAGCGCCAAAGAGACGGCGGGCCCAGGATGGGCTGGGCGGGAGGACGGTTGGAGGAAAACCGCCATCCTCCTCCTCCTCCGCCGGCCGTTACCCACACTGACGGGTCGGGAGAGCCCGCAACAGCCCCACACCCTTCCCCACGGCGCCGGGAAGGGCTGCCCCGCTCCCCTCCAACGCTCCCCCCGCTCCGCCCAACCGCCCCAACCGCCGCCCCCGCGGCCGTTGCTCCCCCGGCCTCCCGGCGCGGGGCGCGCGCCC